TCCTTCTCCTTCCCCCTCCTCCTCCTCTTCCCCCTCCTCCTCCTTCTCCATCCCCCTCCTCTTCTTCCTCCTCCTTTCCTCCTCCTTCTCCTCCTTCTCCTTCTCCTTCTCCTCTTCCTTCCTCCTCCTTCTCCTCTTCCTTCCTCCTCCTTCTCCTTCTTCTCCTCCTCCCCACTCCTCTTCCTCTTTCCCCCTCCTCCTCCTCCCCCTCCTCTTCCTCTTTCCCCCTCCTCCTCCTTCCCCTTCCTCCTCCTCCTCCTCCTCCTTCTTCCTCCTAGAACACGGCGACTTTATCCCTTTTGATGGGCCTGGGAACGTCCTGGCTCACGCCTATGCACCTGGGCCTGGGGTGAATGGCGATGCTCATTTTGATGAGGACGAGCTTTGGACAGAGGATACAACAGGTTAGTGATGACATCGCTCCAGATAAGGTAGTGCTAACTGCTTTTTATATTTAGGAAACATGTCAGAACAAAGAATGATCAAGGATAAGCAGAGTATATATAGTTTAACCATTACTAAATATGCTTAAGGAGCTGCTTTCAAGGTTTATTTTCTATCATGGTAAGTTCCATACAGGAAACATAAGTCATTTACTTAGTGACCATGTATCGTGTGTGATCTAAGGACTGCAACTATTAACAACATTTTTTCATTATACTGAATAGCAGATAGCCACAAAATAGTACACTGCACTGAATTAAACTAAAATGTGCCTTGGGTATCACTTATGTTATTTCCCCCATTTATTTTATTTTTTAAGAAAAGAAATGAGATTCGAACACGAGAAACTGAACATCGACCCTCCCTCCCTTTTTTGCTAAGCTAACATTTGTCCTACTGCTCGGTTAGGAAGGATTTTGAGAGATCCGTAAAAGGGGCCTGCATGCAAAGTCCACACTGTCTGCAGAGAAGAACGCTTCTCAGCTCATAATCTTGGTAAAGACTTCCAAAGCTTTCCCCAGAAAAAGGTCTCTAACAAACAATCCTATTCCTGAGATTCAGTTAGGATTTATGATAAAAATGTGAACAGACCAAATAGGAATTTTGCATTGGGTAAATCCTTGCTTAACATCTTGCAGAGGAACCTTTCCAAAGTCTCCAGTGATAACATGCCTGGAGTCACAATTTACATAAATAACATTTGTAAAAATAAAGTGCATTACTCATCAAGTCAATCATAATCTCAGTATTATGGAGTTTTAAAAATATATAATACGAAGAAAACAATCTGAATGCAGCCAGTACTGTAGGCAGTACTGAGCAGTTCTGCAAGCCCTGTGGTGTCTACCATCATTGCCCTGCTGAGGGCGCAGGGCACGTGCTCAGGGCACGTGCGAGGGTGGTGGTGAGGCTAGCACACACACAGGCAGTGCGCCAGAGAAACGGCACAGTGCAGTTGGCCAAGGATTTCACATACACGTTCATTTCTTTGACCAAGAAGCAACTGGAAAATAACAATACTTGGAAACACTGTTTAGCTTTTAATTGATAAATGAAGGGATTTTTTAAAAATATATTCTAGACAGGAGGGCTAATTCCATTTCTAAGCACAAAGAAAAGGACTCAGTTGTCCTGATGTTAAGACATTCTTGACATTAGTTGGGGACAATTGGATGTGACTGGTTACTTTGTTTCAAAGACTGATTTCGAGTATGAGTCTTGCTATATACTTCACTTTCCTTTAAGTGCATAATCACACAATTGCTTTTATTAATCAACAATAAGGGGGAAACCCTGTGTGAAACAAAGAGGAAATATATACAATATACAACTGAACTATGGCATATACGTGACCACAACTTATTTATGCTTTCTTAAATAGGGACCAATTTATTCCTGGTCGCTGCTCATGAACTCGGCCACTCCTTGGGTCTCTTCCACTCGGCCAACACTGAGGCGCTGATGTACCCACTCTACAGCTCCTTCACAGACCTTACCCGATTCCGCCTTTCTCAGGATGACGTGGATGGCATTCAGTCCCTCTATGGTGAGCGATGCTGGAAGACTTGGATGTCAGAGCTTTGCAGAGAGGCTACCTGCAGTGTCTGAGAAGACTGGGAAAGCATGTAAGTGGGCGGATGCACCTCATCGTGCCTAATGCTTTGTCTCCCCCGCTCTGCGGCCCTTAGGACCTCCTCCTGCCTCTCCTGATGCCCCTGCGGTGCCCACTAAATCTAGCCATCGAGAGTCTGTAATACCAGCCCCGTGCAGTCCAGCTTTGACCTTCGATGCAGTCAGCACCCTGAGAGGAGAAATCCTGTTCTTTAAAGACAGGTGAGGGTGCAAAGTTATGTTGTCCTACCCAGTCTTGCAGTGTACAATGCTTAAAAAGAGAAACTTAGTAGAGGTCTTTAAATATTTAAGACAACGATGATACCTTTTCTACATTTTCCTAAAATTGTTAAGCTCTGTTTTGAAGACTCAGGGCAACTGGATCCCTGTCCTCAGACTCTTATTCTCAATTGTCCTATGTACATTTTCAAAAAGTATAAGTTGATCTTTAGAATAAAAAAAAATACCTCTTTTCAAAATGACACTTGGATAAGCTTTACATTTAACCAATTAATTTACTTACTACTGGATAAATATCCACATGAAAAAACATTGATACTAAACAAATGAAAGCTAAGATTTTTGATTCTCCAGATCTTATATTCATCCATAAGAAAGATCTTTTGTGTGTTTTTCCATTATTGATCTAAGTGTATGTAAGAAAAGATATCTCTCTCTCTCTCTCTCTCTCTCTCTCTCTCTCTCTCTCTCTCTCTCTCGTGTGAATGATTTCTAGAACACACACTGTCTTGAAAGCCCTGCAGGACGTTCAAGCTAACAATGGGTTCATTAATTTGACTGTTGAAATAGTTTTCCTCTCAGAGAGGACATTGCTCTGGAAACCTGTGGCAGGAGGTCCCCTCAGTCTTCTGAAGATAAAGGGAAAGTACATACACATACCTGACTTCTGTCTGTCATTGAGGCTAGGAAGTTAGGGATTGGAAAAAGATGGATCAAGTAGGAAATTGAGAAATATAAAGATGCAAGATCATTTTCCACTTGTGCTTCTTTTTACACATATTTCAGGCATTTTTGGCGCAAATCCCTCAGGAAGCCTGACCCTGAGCTCTACCTCATCTCCTCATTCTGGCCATCGCTTCCTTCCGGAGTGGACGCAGCTTATGAAGTGACTAGCAAGGACACTGTTTTGGTTTTTAAAGGTAATTGTTATCATTTTTAAATTTGTATGTTACATTTAGATTATGTCAAGTGAAGACTTTAAAAAGTTTTTTGTTTGTTTGTCTGTTTGTTTGCTGTACTGAGGACCCAACCCAGAGCCTCACACACCCCAGAAGAGTGCTCCAGCACTGATCTATGCGCCTAGCCCTACACATTTCCTTAGCTTACTTAAGCACATCCTCTGACAAACGAAAACCAAAAGATTGAACTGGGTTCCAATTTTCCCTACTATGTCCCATCTTAATGTAACTGTGAATATTTTTTAAAATAGGGAATCAGTTCTGGACCGTCAGAGGACCCGAGGTGCAAGCGGGTTCCCCGAGAAGCATCTACACACTGGGCTTTCCCACGACTGTGAAGAAAGTCGATGCCGCCATTTCTGTTAAGGAGAAGAAGAAGACATACTTCTTTGTGGAGGACCGATACTGGAGGTACAGTGACACAGAAGCAACTTTGTTGGGAGCTTAATTAAGGAAATCATTTTATTTCCTTAAGAAAACCCACCTCCCCTACCTCACTTCCCTCTCAATAGGAGGTTGGGGGTGTAGGGAGTGTAGGGAGTTGCTTGCTTTGAATCACAGGAGCGCTGTAGGACTGGCTTTCTTTAACTACTCCTGTGTTAAACCCCAAGTGCAATAGATGGGTACCTCGATTCCTTCTGTGCCGTTCCTCACTACCTACGGCCTCTTCTTCTTTCCACCTGTGCAAATCCTACCCACTCTTCAGTGCCTGGCTCAGGCCCACCACTGCTGTGAAGCCTGCCCTTCAGAACTTCAAGCCCAGCACCTTTTTCTTCCTTAAAACGGTCTCTCTGGGAATCTAGGCCACAATTCAACTTTCCTTCTCCTGCGTCCTAGAGTTTGCTCATTGTCTCAGTACGTGTTTGTCTTTTCTCCTAACATAAGTACATGTTTTTCAAGGGTCTCTCTTGCCCATCTAAGGGACAGCCAGCAATCACAGACATAAGCTGCTCTATGGACGCTACTCAGGCCTGCCCAGACTGGTCCCCTGGCCGTTGGTTGAGACACTGTGATGTCAGAGCCAATCATCAAATGTCTGGCTAATGGGCTGCGAGGCACCTTCTGTACTTTTCTTCTGCTTCCAGTTTCTTTTTTAGGAGGCTGCTGTAGAAAACTACAATGTGTATGGTAGGATGGCGTGTGCCTAGGAGCTGGTGATGGTAGAGAAGCAGAAACTGTATCTCAGAGATGTAATTCAGCTCCCTCTGTCCTACACACCCCTGATCACACTTTTATTATAGAAAGTGAAGATTCTTTCTATCACCAAATACAATAAAAAGTAGCAACTTCAACAGTAGGATGCACCTCTCCCTAATGGCTGTATGCTTTTAAGAGATAAGTTATTAGTGCTATTAAAATCACATATTTCTGGAGTGCTAAATATGTTTGCTGTCTGGTTGCGGTATGTGTAAAGTTCACTAGAATTCCATGTGATTCATGAATTTTGGTTAAATGGCCTCTATGCCGTCCTGAGCTGTGCGTGTTTCATTGGTACAGATTTGATGAGAAGAAAGGGGCCATGGAGCCAGGCTTTCCCAGAAAGATCAGCCAAGACTTTCCAGGAGTAGAAAAGGTTGATGCTGCCTTCGAAGCATTTGGTAAGAAGATGCTTAAGCTACTGACAGTGGGACTTTTGAAATATTTTATTGTTTGTAAAGAAAGAGAACTCTTTTTATAGAGACTCCTTTATAAAGAGAACTCTTAATAATGAGGCTTTAAGAGTTCAGTTCCCTCTTTCCCCCTTCCAAAACCTAAATCCTATTTATTGTGTCAGTCATCTGACAGCTCCTGGGAGCTGTGCTGAATCACAGTGATCCTCAGCCTAAGCCTCTCTGCTTCACACCTGGGCACGGCGTTACTTCCTCGCGTGCTGCGCTGCTGCCTTGCTGAGCTGTGGGCAGGGCAGCCCCACGAGGTGATGGGCTTGCTACTGGCTGGCTGGCTTCCTCTCGCATCCAGTCCTGTGTCGACTGCTAATTCCTGAGGACATTTTCTCTGTCTTTCCTCAGTCTGTCAGTGATGGCCCACAAGGGTTCTTCACCAGTTCTCGCCTTCCCATCTCCCCAAGGGTTTTGTTGTTGTTGTTCTTGTTGTTCCTATTCAAGGACAAGTGAGTAAAAGTTGATGATCTTTATGGAAAGGTAGCCCGGGTATCACATTCGTAGGGCAGCAAAGCGTCCGCTGGTGCTCTGAAACAGCCGCTGCACTTCTCTGGGGGCCAGAAATGCCCTCCGGCTGCCAGGTGACGAAAGAAGTATTAGAAAGAGAGAAAGAGGTCATAGTGGGTTATTTTGTTTTGTTTCTGATTAGAGCCAAACACCCAGAATCAGGCTTTGCTATCAGAAAGACATAGAGTCCGTTTCCCTCTGTCCTTGTTGAGCAGCCGTGGGTGGGCATCTGAATCTGTCTAAGCCTCAGCTTGCTCATCTGTGAAAAGGGTGAGACTTGCATAAATAAGCAACAAATAAATAAAATCCAATAAAACGCTTTGCTGGCCTGGAGTAAATCAAGCCCTCGTGTCTGCAGTTCTCTATCATTCTAAGTTTCGTGTGCTGCCTCATTTCTCCTTTTGAAAACATCCCTCACTTTTTTTTCTTGCTTGTACTTGCAGGATTTTTCTATTTCTTCAACAAGTCTTCACAGTTGGAATTCGACCCAAATGCAAAAAAAGTGACACACACTCTGAAGAGTAACAGCTGGCTCAACTGTTAGAAAGACACATGGAAGCATCTTTGGGAGTTGAAGCAGTTTGCATTCTCCCATGTGTGCGGGACTGTGGATCCTGCTGGGCCCCTGCACTGTGTTATGGGGCATTCAGCGGGCTGCTGCGTGGCCCCATCACAGCACACTGCCATCTTCCACATGGAAGGGAAGGGCTGGTGCAACTGACCAGAGGCTGCAACTGTGGAAACTACTTGCTTATTATTTAATAAAGATGATTTATTATTGGTTATTTAGTGATAGTCTTTCATTTGATTGCAAGAACAAGGCATTCTCGCAGTCTCGGGTGGTAGATAGTTGGAGACACTCACTCAATGGGGGCAGCAGGGTCAGTGTCTCGGAGACTGGGGCCTTTGTAATGGTTTCTCCAGACCTAAAGAGCACCTATCCTGCGCCCTGCAAACATGTTTGTTTCCAATGCCCAGGCATTGTGTGTGTTCTGGTATACCTGAGGAGAAGGCGCTAGGCCCCAGGTCCCAGTCTCTTTGGTGCTAGGGACTCATTTCATGGAGCACAATCTTTCCATGGGGAGTGGGCATGGCCTAGCTCCCTGGCATGAGTGGTGCATGGTAGGGGTCTCCTGTGAGGAGCCCACCCTGAGCTGATCTGACAGGAGGCAAAGCTCAGGTCATAGGCCAGCTCTGTGGAGTACCAGTGGATGCAGACCAGGCTTCACCCCCTCACTCCAGCTCCTCTCTGGCTATGTGGCCTGAGTCCTAACAGGCCACAGATCTTAGCCCAGGTTGGGGACGCCTGAAGGAGGAGACTGCCTTGCTGTAGGGTAGGTTCTGCAAGTACTTCTGAAGAATCTGAGTCCTCGTGTGGAAATGCGAGCCGGCCTGCCTTTGCTTTCTCCAAGCCTTAGACTGTCAGTGGAGCTGCCCTGGGCCTACAGGTGCTCGCTTACCAGATGCAAACTTTCAGCTCAGGGTACATGTTACACTTTAGCTGTAGTTCATGCCAACTCGCCTCTCACTTTGAGAAAACCAGGTTGGCTTCTGGGTCTACCAGGGCTGACCTCAGCTCGGGCACTCTAGGTTGCTTGATTTGCTCGGAGATCTGGATTGGAGCAGCAGCCTCCTGCCCCTTGTTTGCCAGGCTGGCACAGGCGGTGGCTCCGTTAGCTCTTCTAGGGCGCCTGGAGCCACTTCTGTCGCTAGAGTTACGATGTGTGGCCTGCCTCACATGGCTGCACAGCTGCTTCACATCAATCCCATGTTAGTAGGAACTCGGCGGGTGCCGTGCCTTGAAGTCTGCTCCGTGCAACCAAGTCTTCATGGGAAGAAGCTTTGGCTGTTTGCTTTGAAGTCAAGATGAGCCACAGTCACCGCCACCTACCCACTGAACCCTGCATGGGGTCAGGGAAGGGAGGGCTGCTGTCGAGCGGCTCCAGAGACTCAGAGCTCACCCTGGCCCTGCCCCATAATCTGCAGGATAAGCCCACAGTTTACTTATTCAATCACACATTAGTGGTTGAGCACATACGTTCAATACGCATTCAATAAATACATAAGTCAGACAACTAGGTGTTAAAAATAACCAAAAATAGGAATCCCATAAAAGTAAAATATATACATCTTACATAAAGAATATAATAACTTATAACATTTACAAATATATTTTAAATACATGGTATTCAAAGGAAAACAAGAAACGAAATAAAAGTGTGGGCATTGGTGTTTTCTTGCCAGTGCACCAGATTGCTTTCTGTGCTGGGCTGTAATATCCAGCGCTGGATGTGTGTGGACACGCTTGAGCTTGAACACTCTTGCACAGCTATGTGAAAATCTGATCTTCAAAGTCTGACAGAGATGAAGGAGCAAGAACACTCCCCAGTGGACTCTCTGCCTTGGGGACCGCTGGGTGCTCTCTCCCAGAGTAGTCTTGTATGTTGCAGGTTGGTGTCAAAAGAAAAGACGGGAAGATCTAATGAATATAGCTTCAGAGTTCCACTGAGATTCGCCTCGCTTGAAGTGAGCCCAGAGCCTCCGAAGCATCTCACTGTTATTGAGGGCTAAAGACAGGCTAAGGAATGTGCATAATTACTTTAGTGAACAGGAACTAATATCTTTTTTTTTTTTTTTTTTTTTGCGGAACCAGGGATTGAACTCAGGCCCTTGTGCTTGCCAGGGGAGAGCGCTTATTCTACTGAGCCATTTCCCCGGCCCCCAGGAACTACTATCTTGATAGATTTCCACCATTGCCTAACACTGGGTTCACACAGATGCTAGCTGATAACATCCCAAGCAAGGGATGGAGGAGAAGCTGTTATCTGCAGCTGTGAATCCCAGCTTGCTGAGATTTACAAGTGAGAGACAGCAGCTCTCCCTGGGCTCTGTCTATGGCTCCCTGCTCTTCTTGGGACATTAGGCTTTTGTCTCATATCTATATTTCTTTCTCTTCTTCTTCTTCTTCTTCTTCTCCTTCTCCTCCTTCTCCTTCTCCTTCTTCTTCTTTGTGTTTTGGTGGAATCAGGGATTGAACTCAGGCCCTTGCGCTTGCCAAGGAAGCAGTTATTCCACTGAGCCATCTCCCTGGCCCCTCATATCTATATTTCTATGGGGTAGAACCTTTGAGCTGGTCTATATATGGAGACTGATATATATTGATTTGCGTTTAAAAGACAAGACTGAGCCGCGTTTTACTTTCAGGGTGGTCAGTGTTCTGGTTCCTTGGTTCTGCCATTGGCCTGGTTCTGTTAAAGCACGTTGGTTTTGCCTTGTGGCAGCTTCCCTGTTGACAGCAGAACAGCTACAGTCCTTCAGGCAGCAAGCCTACATACCTCGCACCACGAGGGGACAGGCCCGAGCCCGTCGCTAGTCAGGTCACCATCGCTACCAATTTTGGAGGCAAGGAGGGTTTTGCCTGGACATGTTTCTACAGGAATGAAGGAGAATGTATGAAGGTAGCAAATTCTTTTTTAAGTTTTAGTTGAGAGTGCATGTGTATAGTGCCTGACACTGGCCTTCCCGTGTGGAGTTGGTATATCACATATCCCTACTTCTGTTGATCTATTGAAATTGAAAGGTGGGAACGTGGAAATAATACACACTGGTAATGCCAAGAGGTTGGGCTGGGAAGGAAACCAAAACCCACTTTTTCTGTCTGTTCTCCCTGGTTCATAGTTCTTATGTATGTCTCTTCTTGGTTGGGCAAATGGAGCTAAAGAGCTTTTGGTTTACTAAACCACTGTTTTGTGTCAGGCATTGCATGTGGGGCCTGGTATGTGCTGGTCACCTGCTCTTCATGAATGCAGAGCCCTGGAGCAGCCACCTGATAGAGACCAAGCAGACAGCTGAACTTGGTCGAGGGCAGAGAGAATGGTAAATCAAAGGTGGGCGCTGCTCCACTCCCTGAGATGAGGAAGCAGGATGCTCGGGCCAGCTAATGGGATCGATGCACACAACTGGATTTCTTCTTGTCCAGACACCTCTGCTCCTTTTGAAAAAAAAAATCATGAATAATGAATGGATCCCATGAGACTCCACCCCAAAGGTGGAGAGACACAGCCTCTGCTCCCGCTGCTGCCAAGCCACAGCCCTCCCTGCTGGCCTTTTGTGGTCTGCTCCATCTGTGGAGTATCCAGCTGCCCAAGGCAGGACTGCTCTGCCAATGGGGTGGCCAGCTGTGCTGCTTTGCCATCATAAATTTCCATTTCTCTTTTGCTTTAGAACTAATTTGTGTATGATTTCCATGTTCTATGAGGCATGGTTCTGCTGCAGTAGGAGACAATAACATGCTAAAATACAAGTCTAGAATGATTAAATAACTTTGCTGCAATCAAACAGTAAGCATCAGAGTCAAGATCTAATCCTACATTATGCTCATCTCAGAGATCTCATTATTTTACTTATGGTAACAGAAAGCAGGCAGCCAGGGTGCACTTATCTTCTTCAGTTTCGACTGTATCCTGAACTGGAGGTGCTCCTGTATCGGGCATCACTGGGATAGGAGCAGATCTTCTTAGGTCCTGCAACACAGCCCATGGGACATGACACTGGGGTACAAACACCCATCACATACTTCTTTACCATAAATTTGCACTGGCGCAATGGTAGCCAGCTGTGTGTCTCAGTAGCTGGGCCTGGGGGACACAGGAAGCCCTCTTCCTGCCTACCCACCTGGCATCGCTAGCGAATGCCAAGGTGTGTGCATGTGAGCAAAAGAGACAAACTGGGGCTTTTACTCACGTGATGCTTCCTCTAACCAGGCTTGGTTTTTGTGTATGTTTCCTTGAGCATCACAAGGGTACAAGGCACCCACGCCATTCTTCTATCCTGAAAACATGTACTTGCCATAAATGGAATATTGCTGTGACTCATGGTAGCTGCGCCCTGGGGAAGCAAAAGCCCATCGGTGTGTTCACCCACTTGGTGGATGAATGGCCAGGTGCAGACGGGAGAGCTACAGCAGCAACTAGTGAATTTTACCCTTGAAATCTCTTTACTAAATTTCTGTGCATTTAGGATTTGGTTTTTGAAGAGTTTTCTTTTGACTTTCCTGGCAGAAGCACCCCAATGCAGTGCAATGGCACAGGGGCATCCAGATCTACAAATTTGGACTTGGAGGAAGTCGAAAGCGACACACCAGCTCATTCATGCATGGATGGCGAAGATAATAATGACTTTGAAGTTGGTCACTGAGCCAAAGCTCGTGTGATGGGGAAATGGAGCAAGAATCAACCAATACAGACGCAGAGAACGCAGATTTCCTTGACTGAGAGGACAGAGAATGCAGCACTGTAAGTACAGATTTGACTGGTAGAAATGGCACACAGTGGCCGGGCAAGCAAATGGAACAATGCGGTGCTAGAACTAGGTCTGAAAATGTAAGGAGGAGCTTGGCAGGGGTGAAACCCACTGGGCGAATTGGTAGCACTGCCATCCCGCCAGCGACCCCAAACTACAAACCGAGGCCAGGGGACATCCGAGGAGGACCTGGTCCTGCCCTTAGAACCAGATGAACATGCAGGAACTTCCGGTGTTTTCAAGGTCAGAGCTAGAAAGCCCCAGGGAAGCAAGATAAGACAGTCTGATGATGGTAAGGCACCTGGGAGACTACAGTTTCCTTATTGTCCCCTTCTGCTCTTTGTAAGACTTCTTTGTTCTTACTAGCCTACGTGGTTGCCAATACTGTTCCTGGAAACACTGACCTTCACCTTTGGCCGTGACACTGATGTAGTCAATAAATCCC